TAAGATTTAGGCAAGGAACTAATATGGAACGTAGTGATATACTATGATGTAGGTATGTAAAAAAGACAATCTCGATCGGGGAAGAAATAAATTGTAAAATATACTAGCTGGTACCCGGTCCGTTACTGCCACAAAAAATAATCGTGAAAATATCGTTTTAAATTTGGAAGAGTTATATGGTTTAACTAGAAATAATACATTTATTGAAATTGAATGATAAATAATTTTCAAATAAATTTGTCGGTATGATATGCGCATCGCCTGTAAGTTAATTGTACGGTACCTATAACCTTCGCGCAAGTGCAGCAATAAGTTGACAAAGTTTTACCGCAATCTGAAGAATGGTATGGCAGCGTATAAAATACGGTAAAGAAATAAATTAATAAATTTTTATGTATTAAGATGTATTCGTTCAAATTCAAACTTTTGATAGGCCATGTTATTTGTCATTGTTGCGTTACATTTTATGGTTGAAACGCAATACAGCATGTACTTAGATATAGTAAATAGGTCTAGTTAGGTTTTGAGGAAAGCAGCTACAGCATGAAAGGTGCACTTGACTACTATTCAATCTGATTATAAGTGTTGATGTATCGGGCTGACTTAGCTGAACTTGGGTCTTTCATTTTGCCTTGAAGACACCCACATTGCAATCACTTCATTGTCATAAGCATTTCGAACGATGAAGTGAACATGTTTGATTGCGTGGTGGGCCCACCCTGATGTATTTTGTATGGTAAATGTAGACGGCCTAAGACTCTTTTTCTATTCACTTTCCATCAAGTGGATTGTCCGTTTGTTTGTCACCCTTAATTATATACAGGGTTATAGGTTAAGTCCAGCTAGATCCGTTAAGAGGTTGTAGTGTGCATCATTTTTGACTGATTTGATTATCAAACACCATACCCCAAACTGAACCGTTTGCACATCAAGCACTATAGCATACCTACCATAGACTTTTTTTTAAATATTTCTGAAAAAAAAATTTTTTACGAATTTATTCCTTTTTCTAACATTCAATCTACGAGTAAGAAGACCCAATTTGATTAGTTACTTGCAATGTTGTTGTTGAGAATAATAAAATAAGTTATCTACTATACAAAAATTTAATAATCAAATAAATTAGAAGCACTAATTACAAAATAAATGGACAATAGACAAAAAATTCGTCAATTTTTATGAAAAACCTTTAAAGCCTATATTAAAAAAACGATTCAGTTTGGGGTATGGTGTTTGATAGTTCAATCAGTCAGAAATGATGCACACTACAACCCCTTCACGGATCTAGGTCGACTTAACCTGTAACACTGTATAAAAAAGCGTCAAGCGTAAGCCTAAAAAAAGTAAAACTAATACAAAAACAATAATGTAAGAGGGACAAGGAAGGAGCTCTGGCCCAGCATGTGTAACAGAGAATCTACAACGCTATTAAATGTCAAATTGCTCAAACTCGCTTCATAATTTCAATCTCTTATTGCGTAGTGTTCCCCTGTTCAGCCAATCCCCTCAGACCCTCACTGGCGTCGGAGTTGTATTTGAATACGTTGTTCTCGTTGCTGTGCGACGCTCCGACGACGTCGCTGAACTGGGCCAAGTCCCCCGATTCGGGGAACAGCTGGGAATGTGTATTGTACGACCACATACTCTCAAATGTAAGCTGTAATAAGTAAACTATTATTAAAATAAAGAAACCGACTGTAAACTCCGCCATTGCCGGTCCCAAGCCCGGATGAGAAAGGAGGAGGGGTAGTTCCACCGGAGAGAATGGGTGTATCCGGTGGACTAACACACCCACCTGCGCTAGGACCTGCGTAGTCGAGCGCCGAACGCGGGGATGAAGGAGTCCTAGAGGGTTGAGCCGATCGTCACTGGGGTATATAGTGACAAGAGGCAACACGCCCTCTTTGGTCCGGATTTCAAGCTAAATGGTGGCCTTATCTGCTAGCCACAGATAGGGAAATAGCCAAGCGGCCCGTCAGAGGGTCGCAGGCGACGGATGTGAGGGCTGCCTAGTTTTCCTGAAAATGGGCTGGGTGGTGGTAAAGGCCATGCTGACGGAGCAAGTGATAGTTTATTCGGGTAGTGGGGATGGGCCTTGTCAGCCCCATCTACCAGCTGGATCTAGCTCCCGATGTCGTGGTGTGAGCCAACTTCGCGTCCCTACATTGACCCGGTAATCCTAACGCCTGAAATTCTTTTTTTTAAAGTAGGGCGTTCCCAAACGGCGGGCTCCATGGAGGGTGGGAAGCCGGTGAGACGAATTTTAAACACAAAACTAATATGGACAATTTAAGGCCAAGTAAGAAAGAGGGACAGGTGTCAGAGGTGCTTACCAGAGACACCAAAGAACAAGGGGGAACCGCCGTTAAACCAACGGTTCCACGTACACACGTTCCACAGTACCATCCAGCGTAGGTGGCCCCACCAAGGGGACAAATTCCGCGCTGGACGTTTCCAAAACCAGTTCCAAACAAAACAACCAAATCTCTGTGCAGAGATGGAAGAGATGGCTGACAGAAGTTCCCTTGGACAGCCTTGGCGAGAAACCAGAATGCACGGGTTCCCGAAGGAAGGCGAACTAGCTTCTCGCCTATTCTGCCGATGTGCTCAGACCTTGCCTTGGCAATGACGCTTTTGAAGGACCTGTAGACGGAATTATACTTTTTTTTAAGAGCGCTGGTGTTTACATCCCGAGTCGTTGATGCGTCAGCCCAGGTCCGGTAGCACTCCTGCTTATAGCGTGATGCTATTTTACAAGAGCGACCAAACCATGGCTGGGTTCTGCCTCCGATGGGCACCACAGAGGATAGAATAAATAGTTCTATACCCTGAAGTACCACATCAGCAAAGGAATCGGCAACAATGCTGGGATCTTCCGGCGAGAAGCAAACCCGCCTCCAAGGGTAGGATGCAAAAAACGACCGCATCCCGTCCTAATCGACCAACCTATAGTGCCAAACACGGCGGCAACCTGCAGATCGCAACTGCGATGGGAGGGTGAGTAGCACCGTACTCCGGATCAGACAATGGTCCGAAGAGCCCAGAGGGGCATCGACGGAGACCTGATATCCGTCCGGATGAGAGGTCATGTCTACCCCTCCTGGGGTAGTTTTTTGTTTAATTCCGCTACCATGTTGATGCGGGTGGGGGGGGGGGGGGGAATTGGGCCTCCGACCACCTGCACACACCAAGCGCAACGCAGAGGTAAACCTCTACTTAACGTTGGTATTCTGTGAGGTCGTGGTACCACCCCGGTTCGAGCCGGCCCATCTGTGCGACAGCAAAAGCTGCCGCGTGGCTCTACCACTGTCAAATACGACTTACGTCTTAAATACGGAATACAACTTAACCGTCAATCCAAATAAAACTGTTCTAGTAATGTTCACACAAAAACGAATGCTGAATAACTATCATCTCCCAAGTCTTTTCAGTTTCAGTTTTTTTGTTGTTTTTACATACCTCATTTAATCGTTGATGGCATTCATATATTAGTCCCGAGTACACCACATTTCAACTCAGAGCTTGTAGTACCTCAGAGTAGTAGTAGTAGTAGCCCTACTATCGGTCAGTATTCTGATGGAGAAGTCATTAACCTTCCTAGCGTCTATTGCTATGGCCGCTTGAATGATACCCATACATTCCGCCTGAAAGACTGTGTTATAGGTACCCAGCGGTGTGCATATGTGGATATTGAGGTCTTCAGAGAAAGTTCCAGATCCTACACCTTCATTTGTTTTAGAACCATCGGTGAAAACTCTAAGCTCGTTTGGGCTTCATCCTTCCGGCTGGCTGATTTCATTTAATTATATCTTGTACTTCTTATCGAATACAAATTGTTTAGGAATCTTATCGTACTTGGCTTGTAAGATAGGAATTTTTGAGTGAATTCTATCAATTATGCCTGTATGAGGGACACTATTCTTACTCCAAAGATTTAAAGTCTTGAGTCTGATGACAGCTAAAGTCGCTTCTTGTTGTATATGTAGATGAAGACCTAAATATTTTACCTCAGAGGATAGCTGGAGTTTTGTGCTGAAAAGAAATCATCTCTGTGAAATTATTTTGGAGGGAAAGTAGTAAAGTATTGTCTAATTGTTTTAAATTGCAATAAATGTTTCTTCCTTTCTTTTCTTTCTTTCTGTCTTATCTTTCTTGTCTTTCATCCTTTTCTTTCTTTCTTTCTTTCTAAAATACTTATTTTTTATAACATAGGTAGAAATACATCCAGGGTTCGAAAGAATGTAACAATGTCCTTCAGACCGTATTTCGGTCACGGCGGCCAGCTTCAACGGAGACTAGCCATAGGCGCAGGACAGGATTTTAGTGTCCAAGTGTATGCGCAAGCACAGGTGCACTCTTTATTGCCTCACCCTCATAGTCCTATGGGACGGTAAACCGACACGACCGGAGAGAGATCAGGCGCAGGACCAACGGCTTTACGTGCTTTCCGAGGCTCGGGGGTGAGACACCGCCGACTTCCTGACTCCGGGCAGCTACTGAAAATTTCTTGACAGGGAAACTCAATAACTTCTTTTTTTCCCGACCAGGGATTCAAACCCGGGTTCTCATGATCAGCAGTGACGTTTACAACCACTAGACCAACGAGGCAGTAAAGTAAAGAATGTAATGTATGAGAATCGTTAGAGTAACAGTTGTGGAATAAATAAAACAAAGATATTTTAATTTCTTTTTTAATTAAACAAAACAGTTATTTAGAAGTAACTATTACATATTTCTTGCACAAAATTATCTCGCCCATTAAACGAGGGCTCTCTGCCCAGCATTGGGACGTATGATGGTGTTATTTTTATTATTACAAACTGTATTCTTAAATTTTTAATACTTTTTATTTTTCACTAATGTCATATCACTTAAAACTAATCTTAATAGTTTACTGTTAACTAATACGTTAACTAAACAAAAACAATCGACGTTGCATTTGTTTTATCGTACTTATAATGAATATGCATTTAATTGAAGATTTGACCAGGTGTTCTCCCCTACATCTTCCACGGATAACCGGCGGCGATTGGTTCCATTACACGTCGCTCAGCTGAAAAATTATGCGTTCTATTATTATTATTATTATTTTAAATATACACACAACGTAGATACAACAGTTTTCTGCATCAGTTTCTACATCAATAATGTTTGAGTGTACTAAATAGGGAACTTTTAAAAACTGTTATGGGCAACACTTTATTTCTCCCACGACAAGTAAAAACCTAAATAATGCTCGACATACACGGTTAGTTAAACTGATCAGTTGAAAGTTGAACTGACGTAAATACAAAAACTGACCGTGAGTGTGAAATCGTTCTTAAGTTGAAATTTTTAACCGACGGCAACTCACGGATTATTCCGGGCGCAAAGTCAGTTAAACTGGTCAATTGAACTGACATACATCCAAATACTGACCGTGAGTCTTAAGTTGAAATTTGAAGTCATTCGTTACATCCGTTTGAACTGATCAGTTTAATTGAAAGTGTGCGTCTGTGACCGTTAATTAATTTCCCATTTTAATTGCTGTAATATTTATTTTATACTAATAATATAAATTACCAACAAAATCATATACAACATTGCCATCTAGTGATGCCATGAGAATAAGAGGATCCATATGATATATATATATGCACACCCAAATTATTACAAGGCCATTCAAATGGTTAGGACCACCCTCAAAACAAAACACTAGCGTGAATTAGCAGCTTAATGCTGTTGTTTCGTATAGCAACTGTAGAGAACCATAGACCCTCTTTACTGGACACGAGGCATTCCATTTCAGTCTCCTGGCGTGACAACACATCTGCATTTTGATTCTTAATCGATAAATTTAGGTGTCTATGGGCCACAGCATCCACTAATCATAAAGTGGAATGTGTGCTTGATTGTCACCCTTATTCTATAAAAAAAAAACTTTCAGTCGTAGGACTGCATGTCTGAAGTGAAAACTTCTTAGCTTCTATAGAGGGTAGAGGACCCTCTATATTAGCTTCACAAACTTGTAAACATTCGTTTTTGGGTTGTTAAGAAATATTTTTTAGGAAGTACATATTTTTTATTAAAAAATATTTTTATCAACGTATTAAAATAGTAATAACATATTCATTTATCGCGCTGTTTTACATGAAATACAATAATTATTATCTTTATAATACAAACAACTATATAAATACCTACTTATAAATTTTATAAAATTTAATCAATTGGATATTCAAAGTTACTTTCATCAATTTCATGTATCTGAGCGTGACCACAAGAGTTTAGTACTTTTGTCCCGTCCCAAAAGTGCACAACGTGCCTAAAGAAGCTAAACCCGCGCGTTACACTGCCGTAACCAAACGCTTAGTTTAACAACTGTGCATCGTAACTGATCGTAACTGAACATTTATGAAGTATTTAATGTTTTATGTGTAATTACTTGGTATATTTCGGAATGAGCGGAGGCGGGAAATTAAGGGCAATGAAGTCAAATACGTCGGTTAATACTTGGTTTTTAGGTAGAGAGGGCACGGCCATGTCATTTTAAGATTAAAAAAATTACCTGTTAGCTCTTCATTAGAGAAATCATCGAGACAGACGTCCTCGCATTCAATTCTTTCAAATGTGTCGTGATGAAGTTTGCAATATTTGGGAACCTCCTTAGTCGCTGTATAGTTTGCCTATTTAAAAGAAAATATAACTGGATTAAGATTGACAAAATCTCATACTAATGATTATATATATCTAATATATAAAAATATTTTTCTTGTGTATTTTTTGCGTTGCCATACCGTTCATCAGATTGCAGTAAAACCTTGTTCAAATATTGATTGCATTTCTGCGAAGATTAGATATAGTCATACCCTTACGAAACGCGCAAATAGGCAGTTATGATTTTAAAAATATTAAAGAACTGACTTCATTGAATGACAAAACAAAAAAAATCCTAATTAGTTAATAGATGAGTATTCACTCACAGTAATTCACCATGAATTAATAGAAAAAGAAAAAAATGACATTTGTTTGTCAACGTCTTTCATATTGAAGACATTTTCTGAAATTTATTAAAATTTAGTTCATAGGTTTAGTTTTTAATTTTTATTATTGATTTTTGCTTAAATTCAGTTATTATGGACTTCAACTTCGTATGTAGGTGAAATACACAGTCATAATATAGCCGTGAATATACAGTAAAGACTTTTTGTGAGATGTTAACTCTGTAAAGATATTTAATATAAATTAAATGAATTCATTATTTCAAAGTTTTATGCGCGATTTGTGATCATCATCGAAAGTAAGTTAAGTGTTGTGCAAATAAAAAGCACAAAATCATCTGATCACTGTCTGCAGGTTTCCTATGATAGAAAAAGAAAAAATTATGCCAATATTGTGGTAAGTCTATAAACATTTTGAATTTATATGCCGTTATTTGTAGGGATTATTACTACATTGACTCAAATTGTATCTGTTTCAGATCACGTATTTGGGCTGAGTTAAGTTTTCATCATGAGAATTTTGCTGATTTAAATTTACGTTAATGTTCTGTGAAGAATAACTCTCTGACAATACATCAGTAACAAACGTGGAAATATCATGTACAAAAGCAATAAAAACATCAATAATAATGTATATTTTATAAAACAATTTGTCTTTCAGAAAATAAAATTACATAACTATACTTACCTATTTATAATATTATTTTAACCCACATACTAATCTAAAGTATATTCGAGTAATTTTGGTGCAACCTATCAAATACGAGTATATGGGAATTTACCCCATAGTTTTGTGAGGCGTGAGCCAAAATTACTCGAGTATGCCTTAAATAAAAAGTTTAAAGTTACAGAATACAAAGGTTTGAAATTCCCGCTAAAAAAGTTGTATATGGGCTTCCACCGTAGCGCTTTTAGTACACTCATAAACACGCGTTTCCATTTTTTAGTATGAAGTTGGCGTTCTTCTCTTGGTAGAGAGTAATTGTGTTCTGTGGTTAAGTGCGTTATCAGAAGCAGTATTCAAACGTAGATAAATAATTTTACTTCAAAAAACTCAAAAAAAATCAAATTAAACTTAAATAAAATAATATTTGTAAATTGTATTTGGATTGATTATCTCTGCATGGAATGATGACGCAAGCAAGCCAAAGCGAAACAGCAAGCCGCGGTGGCCAGCGGCGGCGTACATCGAACACGGCGTGAACTCGTCACATAACACTTTGGTAATCGATTATCACAACTTTAAAATTTAACTTCGACCGATTGTGATAATTATTATTAATTATTTATAATAGATAATTATTCATTAATATTACACAAATACTAATTCATTACTATGTCTACTTGACGACCACGAAGACATTGTTGAATACGTCCAACTTCTACCTATGCATTATTTCTTCTTGGCAGTAAAATATAGCCGCAATGGTTGCAACATATGTATAAGATAATATGATCCGCCATCGTGAAAGATACCTTTGAGGGGACTATTCACACATAAACCTTAAAGGTGCGCGCGCCACAAGCGGCTCGCTTTGAAAAAATGCTGTATCGGCCGTGTCACAGACCTCACAGTGGCCGTAGGTATGTAAGCATGCGTCGTTTAGTTCAGAAGCAAATAACATTGTGGCGGCGCTGTCGTCGCGCCACAAGCGAAACACATCGAAGCCTAAATCGCGCTAACAAAGTTCCGAAATTAAAGCAATATATATAGAATAGCTCCGAACTACCATTTGGAGCGTTGGCCGCTCCCCGGGCAAAAACAACTTGCCCGGCGGGAGATCTCCCCTTTTCCTTCCACCGGCTGCGGCTACATTGGTGACCCCGACGTGATATGAACACGCAACCAATAACCTTCGGAAAATACAACTTCAAAAACCTTTGTCATCGTCCTCAAGTACCCCATTCATTCGCTCCCGAGCAGATATTGTCTGCAGTCTTCACATTCTACCAATCATCTAGCTTTACAAAGGTTCATCGCAGCATTGGAATAATAATGCTTCCTGTTCCTTCAAGCTAATGTCTGCGCTACAGTGTTCGGCACGGCTCTGAGCCTTACTGCTCGCCTCTGCTTCACGGCACTCTCGCAGATTACTTGCCTTCTTCTCGACTCACCGCAAACTACAAGACAGTCCCTGGCACTTGCTCCGGCTCATCGTTCTCACCGGCATCTCTTGCAAGTGCGTAGTACGGCATGCATTACACACCGGCATATCGTTCGCACCGGCGTCACTTGCCCTTACGCATACAGCATGCATTCCCCACCGGCAATCGGACTGCACTATCGACCTCCGGTCTGAGCAGGAGGGTGATGTGGCGGCGCTGTCGTCGCGCCACAAGCGAAACACATCGAAGCCTAAATCGCGCTAACAAAGTTCCGAAATTAAAGCAATATATATAGAATAGCTCCGAACTACCGTTCGGAGCGCTGGCCGCTCCCCGGGCAGAACACCTTGCCCGGCGGGAGATCTCCCCTTTTCCTTCCACCCGCTACAGTGGTGACCCCGACGTGATATGAACACGCAACCAACAACCTTCGGAAACTACAACTTCAAATCTTCGTCATCTTACTCAAGTACCCCATTCATTCGCTCCCGAGCAGACATTGTCTGCAGTCTTCACATTCTGCAAGCCATCTAGCTTTACAAAAAAAGGTTCATCGCAGCACTGGAATAATAATGCTTCCTGTTCCTTCAAGCTACTCTCTGCGCTACAGTGTTCGGCACGGCTTTGAGCCTTACTGCTCGCCTCTGCTTCACGGCACTCTCGCAGATTACTTGCCTTCTTCTCGACTCACCGCAGACTACAAGGCAATCCCTGGAACTTGCTCCGGCTCATCGTTCTCACCGGCATCACTTGCAAGTGCGTAGTACGGCATGCATTACACACCGGCATATCGTTCGCACCGGCGTCACTTGCCCTTACGCACACAGCATGCATTCCCCACCGGCATTAAGGATGCACCGGCAATCGGACTGCACTATCGACCTCCGGCCTGAGCTAGGGGTGATGTGGCGGCGCTGTCGTCGCGCCACAAGCGAAACACATCGAAGCCTAAATCGCGCTATCAAAGTTCCGAAATTAAAGCAGCATATATATAGAATAGCTCCGAACTACCAATCGGAGCGTTGGCCGCTCCCCGGGCAGAACACCTTGCCCGGCGGGAGATCTCCCCTTTTCCTTCCACTCGCTACAACATTTTTAGAAATATTAAATTTAGTAAGTTAATTGATTATAAACGCTAAAATCCCATTCATAGTACACCTACGTGGTGTAGGTGTAATGAAACGACTAACGGGTTGTTTGTTACGTACTGTATTAATTGCTTAAACCACTGTGATTGTTTAAATTTATATTAACCTTTATTTTTTTAATAAAATATCATTTATGAAACCCACATTTCCCATAATACACAAAACATTGATAATATTTTAAATTTCTTCACTTAGATTATTGATAGGTCTTCGCGCGCTCAGACGCGCTCAGTCAGAGCGCGCGATGACCTATTAATAATCTGAGTTTCTTCATAAATAAAAAATAATAGTTTATACCTAGAAAACTTACACTCTGAGCCCATTTGCCGTCAGCTATTCATTACGGGCTCGCGGACTTCGTTACATATGCGACAATCAAATAATAACACAGAATAGATTGCAAATGGCTACAAACAATTCGTGTCTTTTGTGAAATTCTTGAACATCCTACGAAGAAACGCGTGATGAATATGTAACTTGTGCGAAGCACCAAAAGTAATTTATTCATGTCCAGGGTGAGTATATTAACACTGCGCGTTAATATACTCACCCTGGACATGAATAAATTACTTTTGCATCTGTGTGACTAGAAAATATCAATGTAGGTTTTCCATTAGAAGTTCCCACGCTCAAGGACAACAGTCTTAACTTACGGTAAGGAGGCGCGCGTATCGTACCGACAAATTTATTTGAAAGTTATATATAAATCAACATCTATGAATGAATCATTCCTAATTAAAGAATATAACTCTTTCAAATTTAAAACGATATTTCCACAATTATTTCTTCCGCAGCTGCAACGCAACGGGTACCAGTTAGTATTATATATAAACTAGCTGGTCCCCGCATCTTTGTCCGCGTGATTTCATGGGTTTTAATTTTTTTTTGCGCGGAACCCTAATTTTTTTTCCAAAATCATAGTAGCCTAAGTTACTCCTTATAACATCAGCTATCTGCCAGTGAACGTTCCGTCTAAATCGGTCCGGAACGTAATTAAAAGCGAACTTACGACAGTTCGCTTTTAAGTATGTTCTAGCTTAAAGTAAACTATTAACATTGGTATGGCGTATGAGCTGGCAATGGAAGTTCGGGAACGGACGAGTGTGCAGACCGATGAAAATCAAACGCGCTATGACATTTTACGACAATTTATTTTGAGAATAAATGCGATTATTAATAAATTAAAAGATTAGAAAATTCACATTTTATGAGCTACGAAATCATTGATATGGAAGTGACAGATAGAAATAGATTTAGATTTCCCTTTTATTTGACAGCCAATGACAGCTATTCTTTTTAAATTTGACACTGTGTAAGGCTAATGCCTTTTAGCTTATACAGCCAATTTATATTTTTAACGGAATGAATAGAATAAATATTCTATTCATTCCATTAATATATATATATATATATATATATATATATATATATATATATATATATATTTCTATCATAAACAATATTTTATTATCAATTATGTAACTTTACATGCTAGAGTCACGCTGCTTCTGTAATATTTTTGCAGCATGAATGGGTCGGCTCAACAGGGGAAGGGACCCCGCTCTCACAGAATATCTGTGGGAAATATGCTGCCGTATTTCGTATGGTGAGTGTAGAGAAACTGAGAACCTTTTTACTGGCAACGAGGCATTGCACCTTGTTCCTTAGATATTACAACGTATCTGAATTTTGATTTTAAATTAAGTATAAATTAGAATCAAAATTCTGATACGTTAAATTCAGGTACGCTGACTATGGGCTACAACATCTAGTTACCATCAGCTGGACTGTGTGCTCCTTTGTCATCCTAATTAATATTAAGAAAGTAATTGCCAAGAAGCGCATTCTTAAATAGGATAGGACTTCCACGTTACCAACGTTATGCTTAAAATAAATAAATGATATGAGAGTAGAACTTACATAAGGATCGTATTTTTCAACGGCAATCCCATCAACTAAATGATATCGCTCCCGCCACTTGTATCCCACGATCTGACCGTCGATACACTCTCCCTCACACTCACTCCACTCCTGCCACTGAGACATGGGGCACTCCTCGGCTGACTCGGGGTCCGTAACTATAGGACTCTCGCTGTAATTAAATTATTTACTTTATAAATTTAAGCCAGCTGCTAAAAAGTATAATGACTAATCAAACCATAAAACCATAATTAACTTAATTAACCATCATTCAATCCATCACGTTAAGGCGATACCCCGACCAAAACCTTGCGATAGTGCGTTTTACAGAGACTATTATCTCATTAGTTATGAGAAATAAACTACAACTAAAAGCACATTATTAATGTTCGATATCCTATCATCACATTCCAAGTTCTAGTTTGTTTTTATGTGTTATAAATACATTTAAAATCTACCTTTAAAAATGACTAAAATTATTGATGAGATGCATCTGTTGCTAAAGGCAACGCTCTAATCATTTGAGGATTACAATAATGGATAGATAATTTAAAAATCTACATTCTTCACGTTATATTTAATTTTTAAAGTTCGTTTTTCCTTTTTGATTAGAATAATTTCAAAAATTGTGTAAATTCTATGATAAAGCGGCATACGCCTAAAGAGGGAACGAATGCTCAAGGTCATTTGGTCAGGGAAACGCCTTAATATTTAATAAGTTAAAAATTGCATTATATATAATTTTTTAAATGGTTCACAGGACTACAAAAGAAGAAAAGTAAAGTCGGTATTATAGCACAATATACATATTATTCAACTTTTGTAGATAATTGTGTTTTTCTCTTTTTCTATGTTTTATATAGAGCAACACGGGCCACCGCACTGGCAAGGCGGTACCGCTGACCATATATAATGTACTCTGTGCCACTGACTGGAGGGGAGTAGCTAGCCATAGCGTGTTCCACCGATACAAATCTATCCGTCATTTTTACGGGGAGAAATCTGCGCGCACTAAAATAAAAGTACGCCACTACGAAACTCACACAACCAATTAAAACAATAAACTAGCAATTTCACAGACACACATAGATACATTATAACAGCATCGCTCGGTGACAGCAGCAACTCGGGTTCAGACTGACTCGGATCAGTCGCTTGGCCAATCTGCATATTGTATTAGGGCGAGCGGGCTGTGTTGGTAAACAAGTTCGAAACAACACGGCCATTATTATTGTAATTTTTAAGTTTAAAAAGAAGTAAAATAGCAATAATGTGATTAAAATGACTTGTTTATGAAAGATAACATCTTTTTGTAAATTTGACGTGGCAGATCTCTTTTTGCAGACAAAAAGCTGAACAATTCTGTATTTTTGTACGACTCGGTTCAGCTACGCAAATAGATTTAGTCTATTCACAGAATAAATAATACTACTACGTAGTCTAGTAAGCAGTGCGGCTGCAACGAGTTTTACTGTACGCATAGGACCGCGTGGACTTATATTTTGACAGAGGGTAACGCGTGCGTATGGCTACTCAGAGTTATCTAGTTACACCGCCATCTTTTACAGTTAGCTACCGTGGCAAAATCTTTGTTTCAGAGAGCACAAGGGATCTGTGACAGTAAACACACGTGTACATTTGTACGTGGTAGAGCCACGATGCAGACATATTATGGTTGTAGCACAATTGGGTCGACTCGACCGTGGTAGGAACCACGCTTTCACAGAATACCAGCGTAAAATAGCAGCTTGATGTTGCTGTGTTTCTTATGGTGAGTGTAGAGAAACAGGGGGTGAATCGGGGGTGACAATGCATCTGCATTTTGATTCTTAGTTAAGGATAGATGTAGATGTCTATGGGCCACAACACAACACAACATCATGTGGTCTGTGTGCTCGATTGTCACCCTTATTCTATAAAAAAAAAACACCTGGCCGCCGAACTCCAGCACGTCAAGCAAGTTTTGCAAGACAACAAGCTCCGGGCATTGCGCCTCCGTCACAGTAACCGAGTGAAACCGGCCACAGTCGAGCGTGTGTCTGCTGTAGTACCATACGTCAGAGGAGTCACAGACAAGATTGGCTACATCTTGAAGCGGGCTTCCATAAGAACATTCTACAAGCCGCCGTAGATGATTAGTTAGTTCTTACCACCCGTCAAGTGTATTATCCCTCTACAAGATGCAGTAGTATACAAGCTTGATTGTGAATGTGGTCTCTCTTACATAGGAATAGGACAAACAAAAATATAAAAAAACACTCGCATGAAAGAACATATTGCTGGTGTGAAGCACCGTCGCTCCGCGAAGTGTGCATAACATGTTCAGGATCGTCCCAACCATTATAATATTAGATTTGATAAACCACAAATCCTCGCAAAAGGACACCGATTCCTACCAAGGATAATTCGTAAGGCTACTCTGTGTTACTGTATACCAGTCTACGAAAAAGAACACCCCGGCCTCATAATGGTAAGGTTATTGTGGTTCGTAAGCTTATTTCGACGTTGTGGCCCTATAAATTTCAACTCCTCTCGATAAACATTCAGGATAATATAGGTGCGTTAAAACAAAAAGGATAGTAAGACTGGATATATATATATAGGATGCGTTGTTCATCATCATTACAGTCCTTCACAAGTCCACTGTTGAACATAGGTCTCCCCCAAGGAATGCCACAAAGCACGTGCATCCATCGACTTCCTGCATATCTTACTAGATCCTCACTCCATCTATTGGGAAGGCGCCCTATATAGCGCAAAGGATTAGTAAATTGAAGTAGCAACGGGCCGGCCATATATTAGGTCTTTACCTATGAAATTGCCGTTTTTTATGAAATAAGTTAACGTAATTTTTTTTTTCGATATGTTTTATTTCTATTAATCAACGTAATCATCCTTGCAATCGATGTATCTTTGCCAACACAGTGGCAGTTTTCAGACGCCCTTTATGAAGAAATCAGCTGGACGAAAGGCAACAAATTCTTCAAAGGCATTTTGTACTCTCGGTTATTGCATTTCTTTCCCGCAATAAAGTTATCCAAATTGTGGAAAAAGTAGCATTCTGTAGACGGAGAGTTTCCAATCCCAGCTCTTGCCACTTGGAGACCTTCTGTTGAGCAGTATGAGGCCGTGAGTTGGCGAGCTTCTTGATCATTGTGTTCAGTTCTTCTTCATTGATCTTGATCATTGTGTTCAGCTGTGATGAATCACACCGGCACTAAAACTCCAAACAGTGACCATCACTTTTGAAAGGGGTAAGTTTTCGTTTAGGGCACTGTTTAGTTGCTGAACCATGATCCAATCAACTTGCTGAGCGCTTGCGATTGTCAAACAGCATCCAGTTTTCGTCGCAGGTAACAATGCGGTTCAAAATTCCTTGAGTGAGTGAACTTGTCTCGACGCGTACTTCGCGATGGCGATCATTGACTTCATAGGGCACCCATTTGTCAAGCTTTTTTACTTTGCTAATTTGACGCAAATTGACCAATACTGATTTGATGTTGAAGTCGAAAGCTGCTGCTAATCCTGCCGTAGATTGAGTATCATCAGCTTCCACAATCGCCTCCAATTTGTCATTGTTGACCAAAGTTTTCGGACGATCACGGGGTTCATTTTTGAGGTTGAAACTTAACAGGTGGTGCGTTCGTTTGTAGCATACGCTCCGTAAACGTCATTGATGTTGCGTGCCGCTTGTGCCGCTTTGCTGCCACGACGATACTCATATTCCATAATTACTTCACTTTTGAACGTATCCACGATGACGTAAAAGATTAAAATGCGAGGAAAACATAACACTAATCAATAAACAAATAACTAATTTTGAAAAAGTAAAACCATGTTTTGAAAATAAAATTAATTTGAAATTAGAATTTTGATTTGAAATGGCCAGTACAGTCTGTTGCGCTCTCTGTCGCACTTGTCGCAATGCGCAAAAGGCGGCGTCCTGTTTCTCCATTCTATTGCTGCGCGGGCAGCGAGTGTTTAGCATTAGTATAGTAGTGGACTTTCATGTTTTTTTTTATAGGTGAGGGAGCAAACGAGCATGCGGCTCACCTGATGGTAAGTGACTACCGCCGCCCATGAACAACTGCAACACCAGGGAGGGAATTGCAGATGCGTTGCCGGCCTTTATGTACTGAAAAATAAAAAGTGCTGACTATTTACGGAGGTATTTACTCATCCTAACCTATTCGTGTTCAACAAAACGATTAAACGATAAGATACGACATAATTATAACACAGTCTGGACACGAATACCAATAATTCATGGTTGTCTAGGACCAGCAGCCTAGTTTCCAGACGCCCTGACTAATAGACTACGTGGTTAACTTGGCTTTATCATCGTAAACCGTGTTTCAAACACTAAAAATAACTGATAATTTAAAAAAAAGTTTCCTTTCCGCCCTTTTCCGTTATGAGTGATGAGATGATCTTTATGAATTGTGTACAATTTATCAACTATGCCTCACCGCCCGCCCTCGCCGCTAGCTAGGTCTGTGGTTTGGTACCTGGAGGGCGCATCAGGTTCAGAGGGACTCGCTTCTTCTTCATCCGATTCTATTTCTGTTTGTGCTTCTTCTGTCGTTGATGTCATTTCTTCCTCTATTAAAGAAATGTAATATTTTTTTTGAGTGATTGCTTGAGTATCGAAACTAACGTTCAATAGGAGCACTGACAATGACAGTGAAAATAAAGGCTTCTTTGAAATTAGAAGAACCATCTATTCTGGTTAAATCATGGATTGAATGTTGTACAACACTTTTTAATTTATTTAAAAAAAAAATTGTTATGCTCTTTGATATTAGATTTGTAACTGAGCAAGTTTTATATCCAGCTAATTTGTTTGACAAAGAAGACAAGACCGGTCAAATTTGCAGAGAAGGTTCAGAATAAGTAATATAGGCAAATAGTGAAGAAAAGTTAATTAAAAAAAGATCAAACATTCTGTCATTTTTGTCTTTTAAATTGTAAATTCGTGATAATGCATTGTTTTGACTAATTTTATTGCGCACGCACACATTAGTAAGGGTTGATCGGTAGGCAAAAACGTTGTTGCCCATAAATCACATTTGATTTGGGATAATTTCAAATAAAAGTAGAAGTCTTATTTACTCGTATTTTGCTATAACGGTACATCATTATTTATATATTTGAACTTGTGTTTAAAATTTGGCTACTATTTGAAAAATAACCCTGTAGTATATACAGGGTTATTTTTCAAATGTTTGTGTTACTACGCAACATGTTTGCGTAGTAACGCAAACATGTTGGAAGCGCCATACCACATACTAGATGATTAATTATTCATTGCATGGACTTCGACTGTCAGAAACGAAAAACATTTTAAATAGAATGATATTATGTGACTGTAGACCATGGACACCTGCTGCAAATTTTTGATTACAAACAAAGATGGCCACAGATGCATTGCCACCCATGAAGTATGAGATGTTCAGGCCAGAACACGGACTGCTATTTGGTGGCAGAAATAGGTAAACGGGTGGTACCAACCCACGCAGACTCCTAGGCAGAACATGAATCCTGCCACCTAGAGAAATATAATAATTTCTTCAACATTCTTATAAGTCAGAGATCTCGAACCTGTGGTATTTTCTTCTCCTGTCGTTTCTTCCACACACTCCTTTTGATAAGTCCTGATCAGTTTAATTCGTAACCTTCCGAACGGATGGAGATCTTTTATGTCCATTTCATAAAATGGCGAATCTTTGTCGTAGGAGCTCATTTGAACACGCGATATCGCGTCTTGGGGAAACGTCTCGATATTCATTGACTGCAATCATTACAGTTATGTATAATGTATATCATAGATATTTATAATATTAATTTTATATTGTTTAATTTTAGGATTTAAAATAGCCGGCGCAGAATAAATTAATAAGCAAAACCATATTAGATCTATCTAAGAAAAATAATTATCAAAACACACAATTAATCAAAAATTATGGTGGATATAGAATACCTGGCGGGCATAGGTACATATATGAGTTCGAAATATATTATTAGATATTCCTCATCGATATGAAGAGAAATATCGTAAGGAAACATGTCCTTGCGATGTCCATGGTTTCTTTACCACCGATCACGGAACAAATTCAGCAACCAAAATTGCTGAACAATACCATTGGTGCCAGCGTGGATGAAATCAAGGTTGTTCACGTACTATACAAGTTAATCGAATTAGATGAGTTTGTGAGTGAGTTTACGAATAAATAAAAAAATATCTGAACTAAACTAGTTTTTTTTCATAGTTTACTCTACCGATTTCACGGAAAAAAAGAGAAAGAGAATATGTACTTACACAAAACAAAACGCCCTATAATACTGGACAGACGTGGTAGAGCCATACTGCAGCTATATTAGTAGTATAGTTGTAGCACGAATGGGTCGGCTCGACCGGGGAACGACCACGCTCTCACAGAATACCAGCGTAAAATGGCAGCTTAACGCTGTTGTGTTTCGTGTGGTGAGTGTAGAGAACCGGATACCCTTTTTAGTGGAAATGAAGCATTCCATCTTAGTCCTCACGGGTAACAACGCATCTGCATTTTGATTTGTAATAGAGGATAGATGTAGATGTCTATGGGCCGCAGCAACCACTTACCATCAGGTGGACTGTGTGCTCGTTTGTCACCCTTATCCTATTAAAAAAAAACATTAAGATTTTATTTATATTTTAAGTTTTTAAGTAACAATGAGAAATAAAAATTATTTTCGTGGCTTGTGCATTTCATCGTGGCTGCTTTGATTTAGTGTCGGTTATTGATCGTGGGCTCCTGACTGTGAATCCCACTGGTCTTAAATAGTATTATAGAGCTGAGTGTAATTTGGAGTTTTCTGTTCGTAAAATCTAAATGACAGCCCGGAATCGAAAAACGTGGCCATGGAAATAGCGATGGGCTTGATTTGTATTGCATTGGATTAAAGTACCTATCGGCGAAAAGTCGTCGAACTAAAAGTGGTGGTATTAGGTGTAACAATAAAAAATGTATATCTAAAATCTCTTACCTCATAAGATACCCCACTGTCAGTCCCGGCGTCCCACGGGAATAAATTGAGTTCCTTTTCCTGAAGCCACGTGTTGTCCTCCTGGCAAAGTTCAAACCTTGTGACTCCGAGGAACCAATCTGGAGAGGGATGGATACCCACGGCCACACTGATCAGATGGTTAGTTTTGTCGGCACGGACGAAGGCATAAGTAGGGTAGTTCATTTTCGGATAGCCGTGACCTTTCCCTTTGATCATAGTTCGAACGCCATCACCTATCTGTAGATGCGTTACAAGAAATTATTAGATTAGAACAAATTTTAAGCAACATTTTAAGCAAGAACTGACATATTATCCCCCCCCCCCCACACACACACACACACACACGCGCGCGCGCGCGCACACACACACACACACACAAACACGTACATAAGCGCGCGCACACGCGCACACACACACACACACACACACACACACACTTTTTTTAAAGACCTAAGTATATTAACAACGGGCAAAAAATCGAGATCGTTCCAAAAAAGTTTGAATTTATTGCTAAATTGCGACAAGTAGAAAAAGTTGTGAGAGAAGGGTCTCTAGAAGGATCTGCGTATATCGAATCTAATCGATTGTATTTTACGCCTGGTGTTAACAAGATGGTTATACCGCTATCTATTGGAAGTCTTATAACTTTTTTAGGCATATCCTCTTGTCATCTATTACGACACCCACGGGACGATTTGGGGTAATGGATTATCTTACAACACCGATGGGACAAAATGGGGTGATTTTTTACGTCACGACCGAACGGCAAATAATCCACATAAATCATATAGTATGTAACAACGTACCTTCTCTCGAATGTCCACTTCAAGTTTGCTCGTATTTGTATGTTCGGCCAGTTCCCTGACACCTTGAGAAGCGAGAGAGCCAGGTATCCAAAGAATATAGTCGACAGCGTGAGAGGCGCCCACCAAATCGCTGAATCTCGGCTCCCAATCCTTTTCTGGGTACAGGCGTGGATGTGTATTCCGCGACCAAATACCAGTGAACGTGATCTGTAAAGATAGTATATATAAAAATTCTTGGTATCTCAAGCAAGCGAACAAACTGGTTACGATCTCGACTTGCACTAACGAACTTGTAATTGTAATTTGAAGTTAATTTATGAGTGCTCTGAGGTGAAGCAAATATCGTGAGGAAACTTGACCCACAGAAAATATGAAAAAACTCGAAAATATGTGAAGTCGGTCAGCGTTGGGGCTAAGCGGTAGATACTTCCCTGCTCCAAAACCCGAGACCGAGATGTATTTTCACACCTAATATTATATATGGCTTATAAACTCCATTGGTGAAAACAGATATCCCATAAATTGGCTCATAAGAGGGATATTTGCCGAAGTGTCTACGCTTGGAAAAAGAGTTGCCAACTACAGTTTTTTTAGTTGTTATTAAGGAAGATACTGCTGCCCATCTCCTTGTTCTCCTTGTTTGATTCCCTCTGTCGCCTCTTACTCTACTCTACTTACTATACTTACATCACGGGTCGAATGGGGTAGTGGTAGAGCCATGTTGCAGCTATATTAATAGTATAGTTGTAGCACGAATGGGTCGGCTCGACCGGGGAAGCACCACACTCTCACAGAATACTAGCCTAAAATAGCAGCTTAACGCTGCTGTGTTTCGTATGGTGAGTGTACAGAACCGGATACCCTTTTTACTGGAAAAGAGACATTCTATCTTAGTCCTCACGGCTGAAAACGCATCTGCATTTTAATTCGCAAACGAAGATAGACGTAGATGTCTACGGGCTACAGCAACGACTTACCATCAGGTGGGCTGTGTGCTCGTTTGTCACCCTTATTCTAAAAAAAAAGTGGATATTACACCGCGACTACACGGTCGCTATATTATAACCAAAAAGAAATGAAGCTGTATAGCTTACCTACCTCATACTTAGCTTCATCGCAAATCTGGCAGTTGTAATTTAACTGCGGCGTAACGTCATCTGGCTGTCTAGTATCCTCGCACAGCTGCTGGGTCAATGGTGGTCCATCTTCGAACCAGACCTCTGTGGTTTCAATGACCATTGCACGTAAAGTGACGCAGCCATTACCAGACTCCGGAGCTTGCCAATATACCTGGCGATAGTGCCGGATTAAGACAAATGCATAGTAGTATAGTAGCTATAGGCCCCACGGCTTAAGAAAAATACTTTATCACGTCATTTAGGAAGTTGGAAAAAGAAAGAAAAGCCCCGATAATTGCACTGCCGCTACAACCTTTACATGGGTAAATCTGACTTCGCCTATTATAATAAACAATGCTTATTTCTATTAAAAATCATACAATTATATTACAAAAAGATGTAGAGAATCGTGATCTATTACTGATTTAAGAATAAAGAGGAAAAGAAGATGCTAAAATATTATCTACAGAAAAGACATTTAAAATAGATACCTATATAACGTTCGTTATCATTATATACGTGTTCGTTATCTAAGGGGACGATAACGTTCAATAATCACCAGTGTATATTTTTTAAGCTTCCAGATATTAAATTTTTTGCGGAATGGGTTCTGCTATGATTTATTACATGTGATTTAAATTTCTTACTCGTATATTTTAGACGTTTTATATGTCATATTCACATAACAATTTTATATGTCATATTCACAAATACCCTTAGGGTCATATTTCTTTGTAACATTTTTTTTAATAAGGCGTTTTATTAACTTATTAAGATATATTCAATTTTTAAGAGTAAATCAGTCTCGGGACTATTTTTAAATGAAATATATTAGTTAGGTATTATAATAGGATGAAATATTTCTGTAGTAAATATTACCTGTACAAAAGTCTTAGGTGACGCTATCACATGTTCAACAGAGTACAAGCAACGGTCGCTATATTTCGCAGAAAGCATATCCCGGGGCCTCAGATGACCAGGAAAAAGAGTCACAATCCGCCTTGGATTCTTGGGGTTAGGTTTTGTGGCACCCTCTGCTGATATGATGAAACCGGTGAATCTGGACTCACCATCTGTAGCAGCTATTTGTACTGAAAATAAAAATTGCAGTAGACCTATGAATATCATTAATATGCTTGATTTTAGTGACTGAGAACTTCAAAATCATAACTGAAAACCATCACTGGTCACTGCTAAATGGCTTAGCCAAGTTCATTATCTAGAATCGTTTACGCAAAAATAAAAAAATTAAATGGGAACGGGAACGACATATCTCAACTTATCACGTGACAAAGTCCAATCATGTTTTGCCTCACTCTTAATCGTCTTAGTATATTACAGGAGGGCTCCAAAAGGGGATTTCAGCTTCAGAAGGGAGGGGCAAACGTGACACACATTTTCTACATGAATGTTGTTTGCCTCCGATAGCTCCCATCTTATGGAATTACTAAACAACGATTTTAGCAAATTCATAAAAAATGTGTCTGTACTTATGTACACACGTAGGAAGTTATACTTAGTTAGCATAACAAAACAAAAAAAAACTTGAAAGCCAATTACCCACTGAAGTTGTCGCTTTTAGGTGTCAGTGTGCGCGCGCATCGTTACAACTTCATGATGTCGTTTTTAGATGTCGGTGTACGCGTGCATCGTAAAAAAATCATTCTCATCATTTTTCCCAAAGGCCCCAAAAGAAGTATAACTTCCAAAAATAAAAAAAAGTGTGCGGTCCTTCATGTTGGAAGGAGTAAGGTCGGACCAAGGGCTTGTCTTTTCCCGTCAACATGAGGACGCTTTCTGAGGCTGAAACGCGACAGTCACATAAAATTGGGACCATTTATTTCAATGTCGCTAATTTTAAAGATCATCTTAGCGAAAAATCTTCTTGGGAGGGTACAGCCATTGGTAAATCAGAGTGTAAATTTCAGTGGTTACAGAATTGAAACAGAATAGAAATCAAGCAACTAATGCAAAAATCCTGAACCAACTGCAAATTACATAAAAATATTTAATAATTACCTGTATATAATTGTTCAGGAATATATGTGTTTTCAGCGTCGATCACAGACAATTTAAATCGCCCATCAGCTGCTGACGCTTTCGTTGTGGATCCATATGGTCTTCTGTCGCAACGGAAAGCAAGTATGCCTATCTCCAGTGTAAGAAGTAAGCCGAAAATTATCAGTTTCATTGCGTGCGAAGCTAAAATATATAATAAAAATATAAATAGCTAAAAAGACAGAATTGCTATACGCTACGATACTGATTGCCTTTTAAACTTTTAATAGTAGACATACAAGACAAGACAGACATCAAAATTTCTAATTTTAAACACAGACCTCCCCCAAGGAACGCCCAACGCACGGTCCTGAGTCGCAGGTGGCTCAACAATGCACAACTTCCAGGTCGTCTATCTAATGGGAGGCTTCTCAGGAACCTTTCTTGCCCCATCAGCAAGGATTTAATGATTTTAAATTTTAAATTATTGCACTTAAAAATTATTTATAATTTAGGATACTTCATTAAATTTTAGTTTGTTTAGTCCTTAATTTGTGTCTCCAATTTTTGATCTTGGATCCACTGGGTCATTTAATAAACGTTTATTGGGACATGGGTCCAATACGCAGAGGCCTTTTGGAGAGTTTTACTATATTTTGTAATGTGGTGTACATTGTAAGCCTGCATATATAATAAAAATGTATCCGAAGAAGAACCCCAGAACATATACAAACTATTGGCAAAAAAGGGGTAAAATTTAAAATATTTGGTTATGAGGTTGGGATACTAGATTTTTTGGGATATTAGGTGAAGCTGTATGAATATTATATAAAAATGATAAATAATATAAAATAAATTATTATTGTTAATGTAATTATACTTTAAGTTGTATTTTTGGCTGGACAAGTTACAACGTTTTAAACACACTTTTGTACCTAGTTCAATTCGAAGTAAGAAAAAATTAAATAAAATTACGTTCGTTGTGAACGGTGATAGACGTGATATTTGTAAACCCTTAGGCGTGATACTGAGAGTTTTTCGATTTATTGCAATCAAGAAGCTAACTAGAACATGACAATAAATTAAAAGGTATCTCGTTGCAGTCCCAATTAATTACTTGATAGATTGGACCTTAGGACTTAAGAGTAAATTAATGTCTCATATATCGTCGTTATAATAAATGAACAATTATTAATTTTTATACTACTTTGTGTGATCCAAATAAAAGGTAACTTTATAACAGTGTATCTGTCACAGTCTAAACTTATAACCGGTCAAAAGTGGTTTTGACCAACGTTCTTAGTCAAAAGTGGTGTGGCGGCGCTGTCTTCGCGCCACAAGCGAAACACATCGAGGCCTAAATCGCGCTAACAAAGTTCCGAAGTTAAAGCAGTTAGAACAGCTTCGAATTACCACGCGGAGCGTTGGCCGCTCCCCGGGCAGAACACCTTGCCCGGCGGGAGATCTCCCCTTTTCCTTCCACCCGCCACAGTGGTATTGCCTGATTTAAAGTTTAGATTTAAAGTCAGAATTGTGTTATCGGTTACAGAATGAATGTACGTGTGGCGGATTGGGATTATTTTATTAAATATAGTGGACTGTATTGAGATTCTTAATCCCCTGAAACGTTCAGTTACCGCAGTCACAAAACTACACCAAAAACAGCAACAAACTACTCACGGTCTTACTAGTCAGCCTCCCAAGATCAGCAAACGTTGACAGCTCCTGGTAGCTTCTTCTACACGGTAGAATACACTAGCAATTAGATTGTACACGGTACACTCTGGAGTAGTCCCTTTTTAAAGTTTTTGGAGAGATATTCACATCACGATAACACAAAGAGAATGTATATGGCTTGTCTCGCCTCCTACCTTCTTTTTCGTTTCTTAACTCCACAGATGATTACAACACATATTACTTCGCAATGTTGCCACTAGGTGTAACTGGCGCTCAGATCGCAGCAGATCATTGTGCCTCGGTATAAACTTTGTGAGTTGCGGTTTATTACTGAACAGTACGGACTTGACCATCGCTAATAGGGAATTATCTGATCGTGCACAAATAGAACAGCACTCTCGTGCTTTGAACTTAGAATTACAATGTGTACCTGAACATTAATCAGAAAATCTGATTCTACTGACTAAGCAACTTGCAAAAACGGTCTCCTTCGACCTTAATGAAGAAGACATTCACATGTGCACTAGATATGCTAAAGCTAATCCTGCCACCACCAGACCTAGATCAATTATTGTCAAGTTACGCAACCCTCTGATCCATGATGGATTTTCGAATCGGACAAACTCAATTCTATCCACTCAGGTATTGGAGGTGACAAGAAACCTGTATTCGTGACTGAGCATCTCTCTCCAAGTAACAAGATCAAGATCTGCATCGGGCTACCAGACTTAAGGCAAAGAAAATAACTACAAGTTCGTTTGGGTAAGAGGTGACTGCATTTTTATGAGAAAGTCGGAGCCAGCTACTGTTGTTGTCATTAAGAATTTATCCTCGTTACAATACTTAACCGATTAGATTTCTTCTCATTTACTCATATCTTGTTTTTTCTATGTATACCTGCACAAAATCTGCTGCCTCAAATTGTTATTACCAAAACTGTAGAGGCCTAAATACAAAAATTAATTAATTTTACAGTAACATGTGTATGCATGAGTACGATATTGTTGTAATAACGGAAACTTGGCTACAAAATAATGTTAACAATTTAGAGTTATTTGACGATAATTATTATGTATTTAGACGAGACAGAGACTTGACTAAATCATTTTCAAAGAAGTCTGGAGGTGGTGTAATGATTGCCGTCAATAGAAATTTTGACTCACATAGGATTAATAGAAATGAAGGCACTGGACTAATAGAACCTCTTTGGATTGTAGTTCATCTCAGAAATAGTAAAAACCTTATAAAACTTTGCATATGTGCGGTCTATATACCAAGTTCCGTTAATTTAAGGAACTATGAACAGTTTGTAGATAATATTAATAATAATCTTTCCCATTTTGATCACTCATTAGTAATTGGTGATTTTAACCTTCCTCATTTGGAGTGGCTGAAAAATGATAATGACCTATTTACTATTTTAAATGACTCTCAATGCCAATACTTTTATATGATCTCTGATTTTATGGCTCTAAATAATCTTAAACAGTTCAATTACATTAAAAACAGAAACTCGAAAATCATTGATTTAATATTGTCATCAGAAATTAACGTATGTGTTGGTGAAGCCGACGAAGCATTAACCGCTATTAATCTCTTTCATGCACCTCTTATATTTGAAATTACTTTCCACTCCATCAATCATTTACAACCGTCCCTACAACCTAGACCAAATTTCCACAAAGCTAACTATGATTCTATTAAAAATGAATTGGATACAGACAAAAAGATGTTGTGGTATTCAACACCTTTTGATGTAAATGTTACTTAAAATACTGTTTATGCACAAAATGTTTATTATATTGTTATAATATTATTGTTACAATGTTTATAAATGTTATATGTTTATAAATGTTATGTATGTGAGCACACACGAGACAATGTTGGCGTCCGTACATGTACTGACTTAAATAAAAACTTTAAAGTAAAATGCCTACGCGTACATAATGTGTTCGGTGTAAACTGAACATCTTCCCGCACAACAAGGGAGATAAACTAAAAATACATAAAAAAGTAAAATTATTTGAGAAAAGTTAGGTATAAAATTATTCTTCATCGCGTTTAAGAATGAGAGTTCGCAATATAGGAGATGTTGCTCGGTCTTGAGTGTTGAACGCGTTCGGGACCGCGGGTGAGGACGCACGCTCGGTGCTGGCGGCGACGGGTTGCGTTCTCGGGGCGGGCACTGCAGCGGCGCGCTGCGCTCTCGGGGCGGCCAGCGCAGCCACAGGAGCGGAGCTTAGACCTTCCGTGGTTATGTTATCGAGGCTAATACTTGAAGTGATAGCCGTGTTTCTTCTTTGTCGTAGTCGTTTGCAGGCAAGGCATATAGCAGCTATCACAGCCACTCCCACCAGGATGTAAATCGCGACGTAATGATGTATGTCATGGAATGTTATGTTTTCAGCGATCACATTTTGGGATTTTAGGTGTTTGATGTTTTCGTTCAAGGTGGTTAGGTTGGCTTGGAAACTGTCAGCGTCTTTTTCCAACTCTCCTGTTTCTGGGATAGAGAGCTTGATAATTTGGTTAATAGCAGCGATTTCAGGCGTATAAATTTCAGGTCCGGTTTTCAATTCACTCGTAAATATTTTGTGCGTATAGATTGATAATTCTTCACTTTTGATTGAGCAACCGGGTTCCAGCGCAATGACCCCGGCGTCTCTCAGCCGTTCCACGGTAACTTGATCACCGCAAAAAATTCTTACGTTGCATTTGTCGCACGTTGTAAATAAGTAATTGTTCGCTTTATTTAATTGAATAAACATGTTACTGCACCCGGCGATGTTTATTTGGCACTGATTTGTGTAATTATTCTTCAAACACAGATCTTCATCTGAATTTCTTTGGTATATGGGGTGTTTGAGGTGGCATAAATGTGCTGAAAAATCGTACATAATACACTCTTGTAAATCGATAGATGTCATGTTTCATGTTTATCCATTCTACTTGGATTTCTTCGGGTAGTTCATCATCCCACTGAAGATTCAGCTGCCATACTTTTTGGAAGAGAAGTTTTAGTCTCAGTGTTATAGGAGCAATCAAGCCGATTGGATCGAACTGTTTCGAAATTTCTGACAAAAGACTTCGCTTTGTACATTTCTTCTCAGAGTCAGTAATTTTTGTTTGGAATGTGAAAATATCTTGTTTAGAAATCCAGCTGAGTCCAAGTGTTTTCGATGAATGTGCATGTTTAAAATTAAAATTTTTGTTGTCTTGGTTGTTGTTGATGTTAAGTAGTTCCTCTTTGTTGGAATTCCATTTTCTTAAGTTGAATCCTCCAGACTGAAGCAGGCGAATAAGCTCTTGTTGTAATTCCAATGCTGACGTCATAGAATGGGCTCCATACAGCAGGTCGTCCATGTACATTGCTTTTTCCAGGGCCTGGATTGCAGTGGTGGAGTAATCATTTCTTCGTTCATCGTTTGCTAATCGTTTAAGCGTCATCATGGCCAAAAATGGGGCAGCTTTTGTGCCATAGGTGACTGTGCATAGTTGTAAGTCTTGCAATGCAGA